AACAGTTCATGCTGAGGTCTGGCCGACTAGGAATCATCCCTGCAGAAAAGACCTGAGGTGCTGAGGGACAGGAAGTTGAACAGTAGTCTACCAATCAGCCTTATAGTGACAAATGCCAACTGCACAAAGGCCTGAGAGTTTGAGCAAGCTGATTTCCTCCTCTATTTTGCACTTGTGAAGACAACATGACCAGACTACTGTGTTCAGTTTTGGGCTGCACAAGATAACAAAGTTATCAACAAGCTAAAGTAAGTTCTTCACTTGGATGGTCAGGGACAAGATGAGGCTTCAGAAGCCGAACTTGTTCAGTTGTAAAAAAAGAAGGCTAAGGGGAATCATGTAAATATTTTCAACTACCTAAAGAGAGTTAAGAAAAGAGGTGAAACCAATTTAAGAGCTGACAGACATGTGGAACAGGAAATGGAAACTAGAAATACCAATTAGCTGTAAGGGAAAAATTCTTCACAGGGAGGGTGGACAAACATTACACCAGAGAGACAGAGAGACTGTGCAGCCTCCATCCTTGATATTCAAAGCAGGGCAGCACAAAGGCTCTGAGGGACCTGATCCAACATTGATGCGACCCTGCTTTTGCCTCTGGAAGTCTCTTTGTAAGATTTTAGAGCAAAATAGAAATGAGGTATAGGGAGAAAAACAGAAATGTCACGGCACAAAATGAGATTCAAGAATCAAGGAATATATAAGGCAGACAGAAAAGAAGTGCCTAAGTTGAATACTAAGCCAGGCCTAAAGAATAGTCATCTGGTTATAATAGGCTTAACAAAGACAAAACTTCATCTCCCTTTGGAAATCAAAGCCCTGCAGTTTTCTTGTAGGAGGTAAATGAAGACAAGAATAACCTTGAGCTCCAATCACGCTGTACTTATTCATTGCTTATTTAAGACAGAGCAACCTATTGTATATTGCTGCAATTTGTATCGCTAATTATATAGAACTCCCATTACACATTGTGTTTAAGTGCTGGAATATACATCCTCTGAAACCATTAGGAGTGCTACCACTGACTCATTTGAAGAGTCTAATTTAGCTAGCTGAATTATCTGAGTCATCCTAGCAGGTTCATCTCCACAGGCTCTTCTAATGTTGCCCTTTGGAGGAGCTTGTCTCTGTACAGAGAGCCTGGGGATACTAACCTAAGGGAGATGCTCAGTGCTCTATGAATACTGTCCTTTCTTTCCTCCTTGATGAAGAAGGATGGTAATAATTGCCTACCTCCACATTTGATGTGGGGACCAGTTGATGTCAGAGCAATTTAGCAACAGGAATACTGATAAATCTATTCTGTTTACCAGTGTATAAAAATGTCCTTGTTGAAAGATTGGAAAGATGAATTGGAGAAAGGATTGCTGACCATTAAAATGCAGCTTTTCAACAATATCAATTAATATGATGTTTTCAGGACTGTCTGAATACCCTGGAAATAAAACAGTGTTTAAAGGAGATCCAGTTAATTAGAGTTTGCAGAAACCAATCTGAAGATAGGAAAAAACCGCCATAATAAATATTGAACTAAGAAAGCTAATCTGCAGTAGGATGGCTTCAATGAATAAGGGATTGTGCTGAATTTTCCTGTCTGTGATTTGTGGTCTTTGAGTGATTACACAGGTACTCAGGGTGTTTATGAGGCATAAAAGTGTTTGAAGAAGCCCACAAAACAAAAAAAATTTCTAGAATATTCAAGTCACAGCTATGTTTGTTAGGTCAAATACAGCCACTGCAGTCAAGTATATATTCTATACAATAATATACTCTATATTCTTACATATATTGTATATTTTCTATTCTACTAAAATGGATTTCTTTCTGTACCTTTATGGTAAATGAATAAGGCAGGAGGAGAGCCACAAGTATTTCATTTCTAGAACAGAATTACCACTTCACGGAATAAAGAGAAATATGGAGAAGAAAGAGTTATAGATGGGGAAAAAAGTATGAGAGAATTAGGTCATATAAATAGGTTGATGGTGTCAAAGAGAACTTAGGGTAGAGGGCTGGTTTGGAAAAGGTCATTATGGTTGGTGCAGTGCCAAAGAAGCTGAAGGAAGGGATTAGAAAGGGTCTGGGAACATCAAAGTACTCTAAGTACTACATTTAGCATGAGTAGGGTTGAAAGCAATGTTTTCTGATAAATTAAGAACAAAGCAGGGCTATATTTTAGAAAAATATGTGCTCTGAGAGGAGGAGCATGAAGCAGGCAATGAGAATAGGATAAAAGGAAAACAGGCAATAGGTGGGGATGGTGACAGTAAACAAAGAAGTAGGGATCAGGTAAAATAAGAGTTCCTGAAGGAAGGAACTGCTCATTATATTTTATCTGATATGCAATATCTGATCTGGAGTGCAATCAGTGAAATCTTGTGCGGAGAGGAAATTGGAGAAAAGGGCTTAAGAAATGACCTGCCTCCTGGAATGCGTAATATAATTTATATGAATTAACCTCAGGAGGCTTCAGCAGAGAAGGAAGGCAAGGATAAACACCAGAAGAATTAAACTCAGAGTTGAAGAAGGAAACCTCTATGGGACCCTATTTAAACTGCTGTTGAGAGAGCTGTGCTGGAGCTACCTCTCTCTCTGAAAACTCCATGAATGATCTTGCCTGTCCTGTGCTCTGGGCAATGCCAAAGACCAGATTCAGTTCCCATGGCTGAGGCCATTGGGCTGCATCTCTTTATCTCAGGGGACATCATGATTTGTTGCAAGCATCTCCTTCAGGCGTTCAAAACACTGGAGTCACATTGACGTTCAGCAGAGATGGGCCTTATTTTACCTGAAGCCATGCAAGATTGGCACAGGCAGGCCAGATGGTCAAAATTATGGACACCCTCCACTCGCCATTGACCCTTAACCTCTCCTGAATTTCTTCTGGCTGTCTGGACAGCCTGCTTCACTAGGGCATGCTCTAAGACAGCCAAGCCCCTTTTCAGATGCAGACTGCAGCAGCCTAAAGGCTGTTTTGCCAATTTTATGTTGACTCTGGCCATCAGCAAATTTGCAGATGACACTAAGCTGGGGGGAGTATTGATCTGCTGGAAGGCAGGAGGGCCCTTCAGAGGGACCTGGACAAGCTGGAGAGATGGTTTGATTCCAACAGGATGAGGTTCAACAAGGCCAAGTGCCGGGTCCTGAACTTTCGCCAAAACAACCCCCTGCAGCACTACAGGCTGGGGACAGAGTGGCTGGAGAGCAGCCAGGCAGAAAGGGACCTGGGAGTGCTGATTGACAGGAAGCTGAACATGAGCCAGCAGTGTGCTCAGGTGGCCAAGAAGGCCAATGGCATCCTGGTCTGGATCAGGAACAGTGTGGCCAGCAGGAGCAGGGAAGTGATTCTTCCCCTGTACTCAGCGCTGGTGAGGCCACACCTCAAGTACTGTGTCCAGTTCTGGGCCCCTCAGTCCAGGAAGGATATTGAGTTGCTGGAACAGGTCTAGAGAAGAGCAACAAGGCTGGTGAAGGGACTTGAGCACAAGTCCTATGAGGAGAGGCTGAGGGAGCTGGGGGTGTTTAGCCTGAAGAAGAGGAGGCTCAGGGGAGACCTCATCACTCTCTACAACTACCTGAAAGGACATTGTAGCCAGGTGGGGGTTGGTCTCTTCTCCCAGGCAACCAGAAGTAGGACAAGAGGGCATGGTCTTAAGCTGTTCCAGGGGAGGTTTAGATTGGATATTAGGAAGAAATTTTTTACAGAGAGAGTAATCAGACATTGGAATGGGCTGCCCAGGGAGGTGGTGGATTCACCGTCCCTGGAGGTTTTTAAGATGAGACTGGATGTGGCACTTAGTGCCATGGTCTAGTAACCATGGCAGTGTTGGATCAAGGGTTGGACTTGATGATCTCAGAGGTCTTTTCCAACCTGGTTGATTCTATGATTCTATGATTTTATGATTCTATGATTCTATGAAATGTATCTCTTATTAACTAACTTTTTTACAGTCTACTCAGATCCTACATCCACTTAGGATCTCAGCATCATGGTTGCCCAACTTCCTGAAGTGTATCAGGCATACATGTCAGCATTTGTCAAGACAGGACAGCTTTTGCAAAGGCATTGCTGAGCACAGACTGGAATGGGGTGATATCTATCTCTTTAAATTAGGTTGTCTCTGTTGGTTGAATTCCCGTTACAGTCACTGGAGATCTGGTCAATACAGCCATAAGCCATCAGTCAGTTTATTCTAAAGCAGACACCCACATTTAGGTCAGACGAAACATGCCCTAGGTATTATGGATGGTATTGACTGGTTCTCCATAAACATAGTTGTATGCCACATAAATGACTTAAAGGTAAGTACTTACATTTTAGAAATGTCAAGTTAGAAAACAGGATCCCACTGTCGGGTCCGTGTCACATACCCCTAATAAGGAGGAGTAAGGTGTCGCTTGGGGGTCACAGTGCTAACCCAGGTCTTACGAGGTTCACATTAATTTCCATGAGGAATGAGGAACTCACAGCTATACAAATGCTCCAAGAGCATCATTTCAGTCCTGACCTTGCTACAAACTGCAACGGCCACCTCCTCCAAGTCACTTTGTCTCTCTACACCTTTGCCTCTCCCGTGGACAGAGTGACATTCCACATCCCAGACTGTTCTGTTGCCTACATAGACAATGAGCTCCTACTGCATGCTACAGGGCTTAGCACTTGCAAACTTGTATTTTATTTCAAACCTCTAGTTGCTACTGTGATATGAGTAAATAATGGAGAAGCCACGACAGCTGGTCAGGGGAGCTTTCAGTCCCAAGTGATTGCGCTTTTAACTAAGAATAGTATGTTTTCATACTGTATTTCTTTCTTTTGTGTGTGTTATTACTGCTGAGAAAACTGATTTATTTCAGTGTTTCCTCTTGTTTAAAAAACAGAAGCTTAACCCTTGCTCTTTCAAGAGTAAATGTAACCCTACAGGGTATATAATAAATATTTAAAATGGATAAATTGAAGGAGGAAGGGAAAAAAAATCATATCACAGAGGGATAGCACGAATTTTATTTCAGGGTAATGACATATTCTTTTGTCTCTGCCATCAAATAACTCTGAACTCAGGAAGGCTGCTGCATGCAAATGAAGGCAAATGAAATATAGGTGTCCACATGATGCAAATCATCTTCATCCAAGTGGCAGATGGGTCCCCTCAGCACAGAGGCCAAGCAGTGAATGCTGACTGCTCCCACGTTAGGAGTGGTCCCATGACGACAAGATTAAGACTGGTTAATGGTACAAGAGGGAGAGCCTTGCATTGCACTTTTCGTTCACTGTCTTAATTTTGGAGTGGATTTCCTGCTTCGGTGCTGTCAGGCCACTATGCTCCTCCAGTGGCGGAATTTATTTTAGCTGTGTTTTAAGTCACAAGAGAGAGGAATTGTATGCTGATTAGGCGATAAGCTGTCACCATCCTACCAGGCAGCTACTTCACACCTGTCTTGAAACCAAATGCTGGTCCTGAGCACTCTTTGCAGCAGAGATGTGGAATGGCAGGAGAAACAATCCTTCCAGTGCCACTGCCTTTCACCTTCGCCTCTCAAAAAAAAAAAGAGGTAGCAGTTTGACTGTGATTTCCCCATGCACTCCTGGTTGCCAAGAGTGTCAATTCAAGTCGTTATCCCGGTACTTTTTCTATTTAGGGAAACTGAGACACGAGTAAGTTGAGTATTTTATTCAACTTGCACTATGAGTCTGGCAGAGTAAGGAACTGGTCCTGGCTCTCCAAAACCATGCTGGCCATGGACCACCCTTACATATCACAAGGATCCAGTTAGACCCGTGGTTGTTCTCTTCTCAGACCTACACACTCTGCTGCAAAGAGCTTACAGTTTTGCACCTCAGTTTTTCCACATGTTCTGAAATGCCATTGACACCCCATCACAGCCATGACTTTCTACATTCCCTAAGGCTCAATGAGACAGAAATAACAAAGCACTTTGAGCAACAAAAGAAGTGATTCCTCCCATTGCAGAGTACCAAGTAGGTGTTTGAATCATTCTTCTGATCTGGTAATAGCGTAAGTCATTAGCAAGCTACAAAGTGATGATGACTGTATATAAAAAAAACAAAACAAAACAAAACAAAACAAAACCAACCAAACAAAAAAAAATTGTTTAACTTAAAAAAATAGAACACACCCCTGAGGAGGATCCTTTCAAATGCTACTCATTTAAATGCTTTTTATCCTCTAACTGTGCTGAAAAACACATCTAAATCTATAACCATTTTATATACTTAAGAATGTCTGAAATAAAAATTACTTTTATTAACAAGTGATCATGTAATATTAAAATACCGTTATCATATTTATCTGTTTACCAGCTGGAGTCCTAATTGAAATTTGTTCAGAACTCATAATAGCATTAGGTCATATTTTGCTTACAGCATTAAGTAATGATTACATCTGTGGCTTTTGTTTTTAATTAGCTGTTTTCAGTTATCTGGGAGAGATAGAACCTTTCAGGATCGTAATTCACTTTTTGATTACAATGGAAAGAGAACAAACCAAGTCATCTTACAGAAGTATGTGTAACCACATAATTTACATTCCTCACTCTGGGGCTATTAAATCTGACTGTATTTTGATTTTCTGTCACTCGTCAGTTATGTTAATTGGCTTTTGATGGCAACAAGGTGCTGGTGTTAACACGTTTGGGGATCTAAAATGACTTTTTACAAAAAGAGATGATTGTGTATTGTGTCTTACTTTCCTGGTGGCAGGACAGAAGGATCACTTTTAATGCAAAGTAATGAAAAACAGACCACTTTTTATCAGCCGTACAGCTGAACGCAGCCAGAGGTGAATTTTAAAGACGGTCTCAAATGTAGCTGTAGCTCTGATTCAGAAAAGTATTTCAGCACTCATGCTGAAATGCCTTCATCATTCATCCCAGACTACAGACGCACATGATTACTCACCTGCTTTAGGTTAAACATCTTGCTGAATCTCATCCTACAGAAAGGACAAGCCATGGCGAGCAGCAAGCCCGAAGGGAGACTTCAGGTGTGCTCGCCACTGGATACTGACACTAACTGCTCATTAGTAATAAACTGACGCCAGCAGCTCCCTGGACCAGGAGAAGTGCCCTGGCTGCCCTCTTTTTTCAAACTCTTGCTTAACTTGTTGTAAATACCCATTTTTGGAAGAACAGGATAGTAACACCACAAGCCAAAACAGGGAATAATCAGCCTTAATCTGCTGGAATGAGTGACTGCTGAGAGACAGTGAGCAGCCCTGCTTGCCTTCTGTGGACTCTGGGGTCATGGGGGGCATCCATGGCCCAGGAAAGCTCCCACCTCCATGGATGTACACTCACACACAAGAGAAAAGAGAACCTGAACATGGGCAGCCATGGGAATTTGGTGGCATTGTTTGCAGGGGAAGTGCTTATAAAGATGAATTAAATCGAGCTCGTAGGTAGACTGTGGCTGTGGGAAAAGAGCAAGGTCATTTATTTCTAACACACCTATGGAAGTGTGAGGTGCACAGAGTGGCAACACTAAGAAACTAAGTCTGATGAGCTTACATGATAGTGACTGGTATCTCTGGAGGGGTTACAGGAATTATATGACTGTAAAAAATAGGCTCAGAAGGGATGTTGAGATGTAACATAATCCACTCCCCTGCCGAGATGAATAAAGGGATGAATTGCTCATAAAACACATTGTCTGTAATTCTCTTACTCTGCTCAGAGCCAGGAGAGTTCAGCAGTTTTCCTGTGTCCAGTAAAAGCAGCTTTCGGGATCCTAAACAAGAATTTTAGAAACTTCAGAGTGGAGTAACAAGAATGATTTAAGCTTTAAAATACACCTGCAGCATTTAGTCAGTCTCTGCAAATGAGTATGGCCAGTTAATAACACTTACAGGTGAAAAAATGTACACTGGGGTTCAAAGTGCCTGACCTGATTTCCCCGCCTACACACCAGAAAATTATCCTCCCCCTCATTATGTCTCACTGTGCCCAAGCAATTTCTTTTCTGTTGACCTGAGCCAGTGCTCCAATGGCTCAGTGGTTTATTGCTTGTTTCTGAGAAGACAGGGAGAGGCTTTTTCCCCATTGCTAAGTGGCTGTGTGGTACCCGTACCAGGGCACATCTACCACGGGCATTTTCAGTGAGCACAGGAATAGAGCCAGTACCTCTCACTGGGGCTGGTTAAATGCATCCTTTCCCTCCTTGGGGTAATTGCTCTGTGAGGAATGATCCTCAGTGGTTATTCTGGAGCAAAGGATTGAGAGGTTTTGGGCAGGCTGCCGGATGCTGCTGGGACGTGATGTTCATCCCCACTTGCAAGGGAGGCAAAGGACCTTCCCATAGCAGTCGTCCCCTACCGAGCTCCTGCCATGCTCAGCTTTCTGTGACCACTCGGAGCCAACAGACACAGGGCTGAGAGTCCTCCTTCAGCCTCCAAAAAGAGAGGACTTTGTATCTGCTTTTATGAACTGTTAAAGCCGTGTGAGGTCTAATGCAAGAGGGTAGCAACATTGATTTTGCTGGGTTTTTTTGAAAACAAAGCATCAAGTTCTTTGCTCTTTACATTGACTTGCCTGCAGGACCTGTGAAATCCAGGCAGCCTGCACAGGACAAATATCTGTGCTGAGGAAGAAACCAACCTCTTCCTGATGACACCCTGCACTGTTGGGAGGCCAAACAAGGATGCAGATGTGGGCTAAGTCCCACATGGGAGAGATGCCAGCCAAGGAGACACGGACACATTCACAGGCTCAGCTTACAATGGCTGTTCAAGGGATCCTGAGAGCAGAAAGATTAAAAGTGATGCTGAGATGAGATGAGTTTCATTGGGGATGAACTTGGCAGAGAGAGAAGTTCCTGTCACTTCTTACAGCCACTGCAGCCATCACTCAGGACAAGATGGGCAGCAAGTAGTGGTGCTGTTACAAGAAACCTGTCTTGGTCTTGCTCTAAATTTTGTTCTTTATCATAACCAGTGAAGTTTTAGGGTTTTTTTCTCAGTGAAAAAATAAGGAACAATAAGACTTAATGGTCATTATTCATCAAGTACCTTACCTAAGGTGTAGAAGTCATTCTTATTTCCAACCTAGCTTTGGATCAGCTAATGCTGGGATTCAAGCCTGCCCTTTTCACAATGTAAGGCAGTAACCCAGCTGCCCAAACACTGGTTATGCTGGGGCTGTTTGGAATCTAGCAAAAGTCCTCCTGGGACCTGAATAACACTTCACAGGCAAAATTTCAGTGAAGCGAGTGCACTGCCACAGAAAAGTGCTGGCTCATTTCCTAAATTCAGAGTAGAAAAAAAAAAATCCGACTCAGTCTAAACATCAATGTAACACCATTAAAGCAATGTAGTGAAAATAACTCTGGCCTGAAGAGTCAGAGATTTAAGTGAGACTAGAATAGGCCTTTAATTACTTCTATTTTTACTCTTCAGCAGCCTCAACAGGACTAAAATAGTTCCCTCCCTCCTGTTCCCACTGTGTCAGTAGGACAGAGCCCTGCATGAGGATTCACACACTCCCTAATGTTGTGCCTCCTTAGACACAACAATAGCACCCTTAGCTTTCTCTCCCCTCCCACAGCAGGCATTCAGTGTGGATGAGCCATTCCACAGCCAAAATGAGAGGCACACAGGTGGATTTCCTTTTTAGTCTCAGCTCTGTCCCTTTTCTCCTTTCCTTATTCTGGAGGAGATGCAGATGGTAGTCGCTCCCTTTGCTGTGTGTGAGTGTCTAGATAGAAAAAAATCTCCCCACAGCTTGTGTTATTTTCTGAGCTGCCTTCTGCTCACCTCCACTTTCTCATTTTCCTCTTTATCAGCTTTCCGTATTCTCCATGTTTCTATTGGTCCTGTGGAAATGAACACATCAAAGCCATAAGTAGTAGCTTTTCGTTGCTCCTATGTCCTCTCTCCCCCCTCTTCTTTTAACATTAATATTAATAGCTACTGTACCTTTCTTTGCTGTTGCTTTCTTCTTGATCCTCAAGGGAGCAAGCCTTTTCTTGGACTTTCTGCTACTGTGAATGCTTGTTTGAAGGAATGCTAGGGCATGCTGGGAAGCACAACACTGGTGATGCCTGTGATACAATATTGGGCCGAGCAGCAAAGATATTAAATGTTATTGTACTTATCGGAACAGTCAAACATACTTTTATCCCAGCCACGTATGGCTGGGGGTTTTTTTCCTTGTTGCTTTCCTAGCAAAAATAGCTTTTTAATCAGTCCAAAATCTCCCAGGAGAAGAAAAAAATAAATAACCTCTTTCCTACGGCCTCCTTGATGCTATTCCACAGGGCTGCTGCCAGAGCAGCAAAGAAGCAAGTGCTGCTTCCCGCCTGTTGTCAAACCACACACACACACACACATATACACACTACAGAGACACACATCACCAGCACCCCCACCACTGCCTATTATTTAAAGCACTGAGTTAACAAGCTCTCCTACCCTCCAAGGTTTACCTGCCTGTTGCTGGTCCCTGGGGCTGAGAGCTGAGCTCCTCGCGCCTGAACCAGCCCAGCTCTCACATTTGTATTCTGTGATGCAGATGCGTGTCTGGAGTGCTGGAAAGAAATCCCCCAGGTTTTATTTCACTTACACACAAATAATGGAAAAATGGCACGCGTGGTGAGGTGAGGTTTCTGCTCCATGGGGGCTGCATGCAGCCCGTGGTTAAGCTTGCTCCTTGGGATCACAGCAATGTCCAAAAGGCTGAAGGTGAATTTCTTAATGCCGTTGTCACAAGGAACAGGTACCGTGGTAATAACAAACTCACTGTAACCCTCAGAGGGAGTTATTCCAAGCATGATTTCTGCCTGGATGGATATAAAAGTTATTATTTGCTCCTGTCTTGACACCAGGGATCCTCTCCCTTTGAAAGCAAGGACTTCTTTAGTATGCAGAATCATAGAATCATAGAATATGCTGAGTTGATAGGGACCCATCAGGATCATTGAGTTTAACTCCCAGCCCTACACAAAACATGCATCTGAGGTGGGAGGGATTGAGGCACTCTGATGACTGCCCTCACACTTCTTTTGTGACGTGCTGCAACTGGACACAGCACGTGTCCTCTCTTCCCTAGAGCTGTTGATGTGTTGATGCTATGGCCAGCAGAAAGACCCCCATGAGCACTAGTGGGTTTGCATCAGCTGGAGAAAGGACTGAGGGGAGGTCATGAGATGGCTTGGTGCTGGATTTCAAGTTATGACCCCTTCTTGTCTTTTCCCTTTTCTTCTCTAGCAAAGACATTTACAGGCCAATAGGCACAGATCAGCAGCCCTTTAGTCTCGTGGTAGTCTGGGGAAATCTCCCTTACCCTGATCAACATGCTGTAGGACTGAAATGTACTGTACTGGCATCACAGCTATGACTTGGGAAGAAAACTAGTGGGGGAGGAGAAAAATAATACACCGAGAATTTGTGCAAAAGCCCACTGAAACCAACCAAAGGAGCTGCAGATTACAGAGACACAGGTCAGGCTCCTATTGCAGCCTTTTTGGAGAAAAAAAGCCTCACATAAGAATGGTCTTATGTCCAGCAGTGCCAATTTTACCCATTTCAACTCCAACCTGCAGCACCACAAGAGCTCTAAAGAAATAACAGATTGTTTGCCACAAGAGTCAAAAGAGTCGTTAGTCCTAACAAACAAAAGGAAGTGGGCAGACCTATTTGCTTGTAATAATCATCAGTTTGAACTTTTAAAACATGGCAGCAGCCTCGAAATCTAATGGAGATGCCTTGTGTTTGCAAACATGAAACCTAAATAAAGTTTCAGGCAGTGATTGGAGGATGTTTTTGAGATCTCTGCAGGAAATCTAATAGGAAAATTCAAATGAGGTCATATGCTTTGCTGCTTGTCTACAAGGTTCTCCCAAAGGTCTCCCTGCTCTCCCAGCGTATGAGCCTAATTAACCCCCTGCACCTGGTTGCCAGGCATGGAATTTTAAGTCATTATGGGGATGTGTGGCTTCCTTAGCAGCATGCCAAACTCTTCATGTCACACTCCAAGCACTGGAATTTGCCTTGCACTTCTTTGTTCAGTGTTGCAGGGGATGGCCAGCTAGCCACACACGCAAAATTTAACTGAAGGGACCAATTTACAGGCGGTCTTTGGACCAAATGGGATAACAATTCCCCCAGAGGGTCTTGCAGGTCTGCAGCACATTGGAGCAGGAGGCTTTGAGTCTGAGTTGTCCTCAGATGTTTTAAACTACTTCACAGGCATTAACTATGCCCATTTCATACACACAATCCTACCTTAGCCAGCTCCCCTGAGCAACACGGACGGTGTGTGAGATTTCTGCATATTCAGCTGGCAAGAGACAGCCTGAGGAATCTACACTGCTCCCACAACGCTTTACACATTCCTCATTAGAGAGTCTGGATTGAAAGAATAAAAACAGTAACCAAGAAAAAAGTCTAGGAGCAGCAAGCAGAGCTCCACGAATCAGACAGGAGCTTTGGCACAGGCTGCTATGGAGGTTGCCTTTCTTGCACTTGTGTTTCCATTGCAGCAATAAATGCCTGGCTACCCTGTGACTTGGTGATGCAGAAAGTGCACCTTTGCTTACTCCACTGCTCTCTCGGGCTCTCTCACACCCTGATGTTCAAGGCTTTTTCATGGAGTGCAGAAGTCACAGAGCCAAACTTCCTCAAGTGGAAAAGGACTCCAAACCTTCAATTTTCACCTCCTGAGGGGGTGCTTTCACCACTACACCAATAGGTAAAACAGGGGCAGAAGTATTTTAAGAGCCTCCAAATATATGATCTTAGTTTGAGATTTCAGACTCTGAGTTGCAGGACAGATAAGCCCAGATGAAAGTCTTGCAAACTTCTTTATTGGTTTGCCACTTGAATGGTTGGCTCAGCACATTAGATGGTGTAAATCACAGAGCACCTGTCACAAGTAACTATTTTCCCCACCATTCATTACAAAAGGAATTGGGGAGTTGCTCAGTAACGTACTAAATTCACACTAATTTTACTGTACTAAATTGAAAGCAGTGTCAATTCCCAGAACCCGAGCCAGCTTGGAAGAGCTGCAGTTTCAGTATGATCATGCCCAAAGAAGGGCAACGAAGATGGTGAAAGGTGTGGAGTACAAGTCCTATGAGGAGCAGCTGAGAAAGCTGGGAGTGTTTAGCCTGAAGAATAGGAGGCTGAGGGGGGATCTTATTGCCCTCTACAGCTACCTGAAAGGAGGGTATAGCCAGGCGGGTGTTGGTCTCTTCTCTCAAGTAACAAGTGATAGGAAAAGAGGAAATGGCCTCAAGCTTCATCAGGGGAGGTTTAGATTGGATATTAGGAAAATTTCGGCATGGAAAGGGTTGCCAAGCATTGAAACAGACTGCTTAAGGAAGTGATGGAATTACTGTCCCTGGAAGTGTTCAAAAAACATGTGATGTGGCACTTGGGGATATGGGTTAGTGGCAGACACGGGTTAGTGGTGGACACAGTGGTGCTCAGCTAACTGTTGGACTGATGATCTCAGAGATCTGTTCCAACCTTAACAATTCTACATTGCATACATTGCAGACATCAAGCACTCTCTGACTAAACCCCTCTCACCACCTTAAGGAGTATTTAGGCCCTTCATGTATAGCTGGGCATGGTAGGTTTTCATTTCTAGAAGAATCCTTATATATTGGAAACCCTCTCTGCTGTCAGAAAAAAGGCACTGAATTTGCAGTCTGCCTTCTACAATGCAATCATTGCAGCAGCCTTGGTGACATCTATTTTGATTTAATTCCACTTTGCATCTTCTTGTCCTGAATATTGAGACAGCAGAAGATTTTTCTATGGCCAGTAATGGATTGTTAAAACAATCAAGTATACTAGAACAATTTTCACAATTATCAGGAATAAGCTGAAAAAAAAGATAACTTTCAGCAAAAAAATTAATAAATGACATGCCAGTTTATTTTTAACAAATCAGGAGATGATGGCACAAATTCTGACAGTACACACACTCTGCAGGTTCCTAAAGATGAACTCTACAGCAATTTGCTATGTGTATTTTAAGTCAGCTTCTATGAACAGTTAGTGCTACTAAATGTCGTCACACATGCAAATAACTATTCTTTTATGGTTTTAAACATCTTCTAAGAAGACATCACTGTCCTATTACATTCTGTTGTAATGATTTGATTAACCATTTATGTTAAGTACCTGTAAGTCCTGTGACCTATTAAATAAAGGATTTACCTTGACTCAGGAGTTTGCATCTACAAATGTTACTTAGTGGGTGACTTTCCCTTTCTCTGGTTCAGTTCCTACAGATATAAAACAGGGATAATGATAATGACCTCCTTAGTAATGCCATTAGGGATTTACTAATAACCTAATCATTATTGGGGAATAAAACTTTATGTGAAGAACCATTTATTAAAGCATCCCCATGGCTTATTCACACTCTAAAAGTGATTTCTGAATGGAGCCTTAAAGGGAAGGTTGATGAAAAGTGCACCAGCAGCAAAGATTCAAAGCTCATGGCCACATGTCCCACAAATAGGTGTGCACCAAGGCATAGATGTGCACAAATTCTGAGTAGATCCTCATCTTTATGTCCCTCCTCAATCATTCTCAGCTACTCCTTTTGCTGAAGGAGGAGGAGTTGAGGGGTATTTCTTTAATCTTTTGGGTGCAAAAGTATGGGATCCTTCCATGTTCAACCTGGTCAGCAAAGGAGCGGCAAACACTTCCCCTGCAGCTGTTTCTGCAGCATTACACCCATCAGCAACAAGGGAAAGAATGAGGAGGAGCTGTTCCTGGAACAGGTATATTGGCTGCAGGTGAAAAGAGCTCCCTCATATGGCCTGGAGCACACACTGGGACATTTCAGATCATGCCAGTGGTGAACAGTATACAAAAACTTCATCTCCCACCTTATTTTGCTTCTGCATGGACAACCCGAAATATTAATAATGTATATCTTTTTCTTTTCCCTTCTATGTAGTAACCATTTTCTCTATAAACTCTTTGTCACACATTCCCATTTAAGCCTCTGCAGAGCACTTGGCTTTCCCAGATGTAAAATTTGCTAGGACTGCAAAACTTTGAGATCTGACTGGGTGAA